CCGAGATTGCGTCATTTCCTCGTAGTACGCCTTGGGCCTGGACTGTTTTGTGTGTGGTCGCTGAGATTGCGTCATTTCCTCGTAGCACGCCTTGGGCCTGGACTGTTTTGTGTGTGGTCGCCGAGATTGCGTCATTTCCTCGTAGCACGCCTTGGGCCTGGACTGTTTTGTGTGTGGTCGCCGAGATTGCGTCATTTCCTCGTAGCATGCCTTGGGCCTGGACTGTTTTGTGTGTGGTCGCCGAGATTGCGTCATTTCCTCGTAGCACGCCTTGGGCCTGGACTGTTTTGTGTGTGGTTGCCGAGATTGCGTCATTTCCTCGTAGCACGCCTTGGGCCTGGACTGCTTTGTGTGTGGTCGCTGAGATTGCGTCATTTCCTCGTAGCACGCCTTGGGCCTGGACTGTTTTGTGTGTGGTCGCCGAGATTGCGTCATTTCCTCGTAGCACGCCTTGGGCCTGGACTGCTTTGTGTGTGGTCGCTGAGATTGCGTCATTTCCTCGTAGCACGCCTTGGGCCTGGACTGTTTTGTGTGTGGTCGCTGAGATTGCGTCATTTCCTCGTAGCACGCCTTGGGCCTGGACTGTTTTGTGTGTGGTCGCCGAGATTGCGTCATTTCCTCGTAGCACGCCTTGGGCCTGTACTGTTTTGTGTGTGGTCGCTGAGATTGCGTCATTTCCTCGTAGCATGCCTTGGGCCTGGACTGTTTTGTGTGTGGTCGCCGAGATTGCGTCATTTCATCGTAGTACGCCTTGGGCCTGGACTGTTTTGTGTGTGGTCGCTGAGATTGCGTCATTTCCTCGTAGCACGCCTTGGGCCTGGACTGTTTTGTGTGTGGTCGCCGAGATTGCGTCATTTCCTCGTAGCACGCCTTGGGCCTGGACTGCTTTGTGTGTGGTCGCTGAGATTGCGTCATTTCCTCGTAGCACGCCTTGGGCCTGGACTGTTTTGTGTGTGGTCGCCGAGATTGCGTCATTTCCTCGTAGCACGCCTTGGGCCTGGACTGCTTTGTGTGTGGTCGCTGAGATTGCGTCATTTCCTCGTAGCACGCCTTGGGCCTGGACTGTTTTGTGTGTGGTCGCCGAGATTGCGTCATTTCCTCGTAGCACGCCTTGGGCCTGGACTGCTTTGTGTGTGGTCGCTGAGATTGCGTCATTTCCTCGTAGCACGCCTTGGGCCTGGACTGTTTTGTGTGTGGTCGCTGAGATTGCGTCATTTCCTCGTAGCACGCCTTGGGCCTGGACTGTTTTGTGTGTGGTCGCTGAGATTGCGTCATTTCCTCGTAGCACGCCTTGGGCCTGGACTGTTTTGTGTGTGGTCGCTGAGATTGCGTCATTTCCTCGTAGCATGCCTTGGGCCTGGACTGTTTTGTGTGTGGTCGCCGAGATTGCGTCATTTCCTCGTAGTACGCCTTGGGCCTGGACTGTTTTGTGTGTGGTCGCTGAGATTGCGTCATTTCCTCGTAGCACGCCTTGGGCCTGGACTGTTTTGTGTGTGGTCGCCGAGATTGCGTCATTTCCTCGTAGCACGCCTTGGGCCTGGACTGTTTTGTGTGTGGTCGCCGAGATTGCGTCATTTCCTCGTAGCATGCCTTGGGCCTGGACTGTTTTGTGTGTGGTCGCCGAGATTGCGTCATTTCCTCGTAGCACGCCTTGGGCCTGGACTGTTTTGTGTGTGGTTGCCGAGATTGCGTCATTTCCTCGTAGCACGCCTTGGGCCTGGACTGCTTTGTGTGTGGTCGCTGAGATTGCGTCATTTCCTCGTAGCACGCCTTGGGCCTGGACTGTTTTGTGTGTGGTCGCCGAGATTGCGTCATTTCCTCGTAGCACGCCTTGGGCCTGGACTGCTTTGTGTGTGGTCGCTGAGATTGCGTCATTTCCTCGTAGCACGCCTTGGGCCTGGACTGTTTTGTGTGTGGTCGCTGAGATTGCGTCATTTCCTCGTAGCACGCCTTGGGCCTGGACTGTTTTGTGTGTGGTCGCTGAGATTGCGTCATTTCCTCGTAGCACGCCTTGGGCCTGGACTGTTTTGTGTGTGGTCGCCGAGATTGCGTCATTTCCTCGTAGCACGCCTTGGGCCTGGACTGTTTTGTGTGTGGTCGCCGAGATTGCGTCATTTCCTCGTAGCACGCCTTGGGCCTGGACTGCTTTGTGTGTGGTCGCTGAGATTGCGTCATTTCCTCGTAGCACGCCTTGGGCCTGGACTGTTTTGTGTGTGGTCGCCGAGATTGCGTCATTTCCTCGTTGCACGCCTTGGGCCTGGACTGTTTTGTGTGTGGTCGCTGAGATTGCGTCATTTCCTCGTAGCACGCCTTGGGCCTGGACTGTTTTGTGTGTGGTCGCTGAGATTGCGTCATTTCCTCGTAGCACGCCTTGGGCCTGGACTGTTTTGTGTGTGGTCGCCGAGATTGCGTCATTTCCTCGTAGCACGCCTTGGGCCTGGACTGCTTTGTGTGTGGTCGCTGAGATTGCGTCATTTCCTCGTAGCACGCCTTGGGCCTGGACTGTTTTGTGTGTGGTCGCCGAGATTGCGTCATTTCCTCGTAGCACGCCTTGGGCCTGGACTGCTTTGTGTGTGGTCGCTGAGATTGCGTCATTTCCTCGTAGCACGCCTTGGGCCTGGACTGTTTTGTGTGTGGTCGCTGAGATTGCGTCATTTCCTCGTAGCACGCCTTGGGCCTGGACTGTTTTGTGTGTGGTCGCTGAGATTGCGTCATTTCCTCGTAGCACGCCTTGGGCCTGGATTGTTTTGTGTGTGGTCGCTGAGATTGCGTCATTTCCTCGTAGCATGCCTTGGGCCTGGACTGTTTTGTGTGTGGTCGCCGAGATTGCGTCATTTCCTCGTAGTACGCCTTGGGCCTGGACTGTTTTGTGTGTGGTCGCTGAGATTGCGTCATTTCCTCGTAGCACGCCTTGGGCCTGGACTGTTTTGTGTGTGGTCGCCGAGATTGCGTCATTTCCTCGTAGCACGCCTTGGGCCTGGACTGTTTTGTGTGTGGTCGCCGAGATTGCGTCATTTCCTCGTAGCATGCCTTGGGCCTGGACTGTTTTGTGTGTGGTCGCCGAGATTGCGTCATTTCCTCGTAGCACGCCTTGGGCCTGGACTGTTTTGTGTGTGGTTGCCGAGATTGCGTCATTTCCTCGTAGCACGCCTTGGGCCTGGACTGCTTTGTGTGTGGTCGCTGAGATTGCGTCATTTCCTCGTAGCACGCCTTGGGCCTGGACTGTTTTGTGTGTGGTCGCTGAGATTGCGTCATTTCCTCGTAGCACGCCTTGGGCCTGGACTGTTTTGTGTGTGGTCGCTGAGATTGCGTCATTTCCTCGTAGCACGCCTTGGGCCTGGACTGTTTTGTGTGTGGTCGCCGAGATTGCGTCATTTCCTCGTAGCACGCCTTGGGCCTGGACTGCTTTGTGTGTGGTCGCTGAGATTGCGTCATTTCCTCGTAGCACGCCTTGGGCCTGGACTGTTTTGTGTGTGGTCGCCGAGATTGCGTCATTTCCTCGTAGCACGCCTTGGGCCTGGACTGTTTTGTGTGTGGTCGCTGAGATTGCGTCATTTCCTCGTAGCACGCCTTGGGCCTGGACTGTTTTGTGTGTGGTCGCTGAGATTGCGTCATTTCCTCGTAGCACGCCTTGGGCCTGGACTGTTTTGTGTGTGGTCGCCGAGATTGCGTCATTTCCTCGTAGCACGCCTTGGGCCTGGACTGCTTTGTGTGTGGTCGCTGAGATTGCGTCATTTCCTCGTAGCACGCCTTGGGCCTGGACTGTTTTGTGTGTGGTCGCCGAGATTGCGTCATTTCCTCGTAGCATGCCTTGGGCCTGGACTGCTTTGTGTGTGGTCGCTGAGATT